CATTCTTTCTCGGATTTAACTCCATTTGAGAATGTAGTCTTCCTTGTGATTCTAATTCTCCCATAGTTTGAGCTAGTCGACTTACTTGGTTATCTAACTCTTGAAGATGTGTTTCGGTTCGACTTTGGAATTTTTCCTGGGATGCAATGAACTTTTCTTGTGAAATTACTAACTTTCCTATAAGTTCCTTCAATGATGGTTTCTGTGTTTGTTGTTGAGGATGAGGTCTTGGTTGATAAGTTGGTCTTTGATTTGCCGCATAGCTAAAGTTTGGGTGGTCTCGCCATCCTGGATTATAAGTATTGACGTATAGGTTCTATTGTCTTTGTGGAGGACCTGGAAAGTTCCCTATGGCATTAATTTCTATATTGCCTCCTTCTTGTATCCGCGGGCAATACTTCGTCGGATGGTATAACTTTGTGCATATCCCACATGCTCTTGTTACTCTAGATTTTCCTACAACAAGTGAATTAACTACTTCAGTTAATTTTTTTAACTTATTCTCAAGGGAAAAAGTACTTATCTCGTGAACCAGTCGGCTGGGTTCACTTGAAAACTGTTGGGAGTTGGCTGCCATGGTTGAAATTAATTATCTTGTTGTTGTTGGGGTTATATTGACTAATGTTCCTCCACTAGAGACATCCACCATTTTAATCTCCATTGGTAAAAGGCCTTCATAAAAGTATTGAATTAACGTTTACTCACTTAATCTGTATTATGAACAACGTGCACAAAGCTTTTTAAATCACTCCCAATAGTCATAAAGACTTTCTTCAGTCTTTTGTTGAATGGAAAGAATGCTCCTTTGTAACTCGCTTGCTTTAGTTGCTGGAAAGAATATGTTAAGAAAAATTCGACTCATGTCATCCCATGAATTAACTGAATTATAAGGTAAATAAAATAACCAATCTTTAGCCAAGTCGGCTAAAGAGAAAGGGAAATCTCCCAATTTAATTTGATCTTTGGTAACTACCTGTGGTTTCATGCTAGTGCAAACCATGTGGAATTCCAACAAGTGTTTGTACGGATCTTCAATGGGAAACCCATGGAAAGTGGGAAGAAGATGAATAAGTCCCGTCTTTAATTAAAACAGAGTCCTGCCACTAGGAAAATTATGCATAATGGCGTCTGAGTGACAGGAGCTCTGGCTAGCTCTCGGATTGTTTATTCTTCTGTCATCGGGATGTTGTATGCGTCTGCTTCAAAATCTGTCTCCGGATTTGATTCTTCTTCTGAACTCTGCTTCTGTTCTTCTTGTCTTTTTCTCTTTTCTCTAAGCATTTGTGCGTGGATTCTTCGTGCTAGTGCTTCGATCTCCGGATCTATATCTGTTAATCCACCTGGGTTTCTTCTGGTCATAAATCAAAAACTAGAAAAATAAATCAGTACTTACCGTTAGTTATTGGCAACGACGCCATTTTGATAACCGTCGTTTTGTTATCAAAATCATTTCGGCTTCTTAATAAATAGAAAGGCAAAGGTAGTATAGAGAAGCAGGGTCGATCTACAGGGACTATGGTTTTTGTGATTTAATAAAACTCTTTGATTTAGAGGAGGGTAGAATTCCAGATGAAGTTGAAAATATATAATAAAATAAAATAAATATTATAATTTAAAAAATAATAATAATAATAATAAAATAAATAAATAAAAAGGGAAATAATAAAATAATAAATAATAGTAGTAAAGAAAAAAAGGGTTTTTAAAAGTTATTTTTTAAAATAAAAGATAAGAATTAAATAAAGGAAAATAATTAAATAAACAAATTAAAGAGATTGAGATAAATATAAATTTATAGTGAAAGCAGTCTCAGACTTCAGCTTTGCCTCAAATTCCTTGGATCAACGAAACATGTTTTTACTTCAAGATTTACGTCGGCTAACAAGGACAATTCTTCGGTGCCAACTCGGAATGTGCCATTTCAACAATAATTGATTTCGATTTCAATTTCCTCTTAACAAACAATCTTGCTAAGTGTGTTCTTGCGAAGTCGAGTATGCTTCAATAAGCAAATCCTTCTTCAAACGTTAATCATAACAACATTCGGACCAATGTCGAAATCGTTTTGATTTGAAAAGTAAGCTCAGAAAACAGAGAGAAAAATCCCAAAAAGATTTAAGTGCCTTACAATTCTCATATTTGGAATTGAGCCTTCGTAAAAAGAAAATTAGCTAAGCATGACCAAAGTCATACTTAGCAATTGTTGAAAACGAAATTTAATAGAAAATAGAGTATGCAAAAATAGAGAGAAAGCTAGAGAGAAAAGGAAAATTTTATTCTCAGATGAGAGATATATCTTTCTAGGCTTACTATGAGGGTATTTATAGCCTTCAAATTCTTAAAAACAAACTAGAACATCTTAAATCCTAATTAAAACTATTTAAACTAAAATACCTAAAACAAAAATAATATTTAAAATAATATTCTAAATCCTAATTAAAATATTAAAACCTATTTAAACTAAAATACCTAAAACAAAGATAAAATATAAAAATAATATTATAAAACTTAATTAAAATACTAAAACCTATTTAAATTAAAATAACTAAAACAAAGATAAAATATAACGTTTAAAATATTATCCTAAAACTTGAATTTAATCCAAATCCTAATTCCAGAAATGTGCGGCCAATTCATTCGTGCTTCTAGAAATGCTGACGTCATCGTCTCGTCGGATGTTTCATATCCGAATTTATGCCCACTAATCCAGCCTCAATTATGAAAATAAATTTTTTTTAGAATTCTATCATTTTTGTGCAATTTCCAGAATCTAACTTCCTATACAGAAAATGAATCAAAACGAATAATTAAACCACAAAAATCAATAATTAAATAATAATTTCAAAGCAAAATATTAACTAAATTAAACCATTATCAAATAACTTTTGATTTTCAAATAGATATCCTATATTTCCCTCACTTATATTATCTTTCAGGCTCTCCTTCATTGAAAGCTGGCATAAATCCTCTTCAATAACCGCATCATTTTGATTCTTTGACAAGTGTTCTGATATTCATCATTAGCACTGCATCCCATGACCTCTGCCTCCCCAATGAACCTTCCATCCTTATTTCTATCCAATGAGACATCGCCACTAAGTGTATTCCCCATACAACGTAGACTCATCTCCTCATCTTCCATCTGACTATCGGTATTATTATCGTTCATCGGAAAATAGCTCTAATTTGAATCTAGTGAAGCTTCTGCATCGATATTTTCTTCTTGAACCTCCTTTTTCACCATGCTTATTCTTTGAGAGTCTTGAACAAACAATCTTTGTTCTTAAAAAGGGAACCAAAAAAATCTCTCTTCCTACCTTGAATTTGACGACCCCTTTAATTTTCTCCTTTTGTTTCGTTGTAATAAGGAGGAAGATGTTATCACAATTGCAAGACTAAAGAGCATTTTCCCTCGGCTATCAGTGCGCCCCAACATTCTGCTATCCTCTTGAACGTGATGTGGTTCCAGCATTGAAGTGGTATTCCTTCCAGTTTAATCCATGTAATTCTCTCTCGTAGATGAAATACTTCTAACCAGGGTTCAATATCAGAAAAAAATCTCCTTTAAGAAAGACCATTTATGGTTCTCTAATAGTTTATACAGGGTCTTTAGTTTGTAGTAAAAAATTCCGACTTCCCATGTACTTTACCTTTTTCTCTCCCAAGTTCCAGTTCTGTAATCTTTCTTCCACTTGACATGAACTGCAGATTGTTGTCATTGTACCTACTAGGCACTTGTTTAGCTTCTCCAATGCTTCCTCCTCAACATGACCCATAACAGTAACGGGCCTCCTTTTAACCTCCTCTGATTCCATGCTATGTAATCCTTCCCCAGTACGACCTTGTGTTGACGCCCTGGTGCCCTCTAAAACCTTAGCTCTATCCTTCATTTGTTTGCCTTTCTGATTTTCGTTCTGATATATATGCTGTGGGTATTCAAAGTTTTTCTTCCTCCATTGAAGATGTCTTTTCTCTAAGTTTTACTTCCTTTACTGCTAGTCGAAAATCATTCAGGCTAAATCCATCAAGCCTTTCTCTTACTCTATCTGCATCCTCCTTTTTTGTAAATCTTACGAAACCAAATCGTTTACCTGTCATATTCATTCTTCTAGCTATGTATGAATCCACAACTTCACCATGTCTACCGAACGCTTGTTTCAACCCCTTCCAATTATATCTCATCAGAATACTTTGATTCTAAAATGGTTATTAATAGTAAAAAATAATAAAAATGATAATGTGGTCTAATATAATAACACTTTTAGTCTCCAAAATATATATACTCTATTAATTTAGTTCTAATTTAAAAACAATTTATTAAATTTAATTATTACTATTTATAAATATTTTAATTCGATAGTAATTTTTAATTTTAAATAATTTAGTAAATTGATAAATTAACACTTTAATAAGATGATAACACATATAATTCTATTGGTTAAATTAAATAAAATATAGATGAGTTTACGTGATATCAATCCTAGGGTAAATAAAACTTAACTCTTGTATCAAATTAAATAATATATAAATAATCATTTCTATCATTTATAAAAATAAATAAAATCAAATCAGGTTAAATTTTATTATATACACGTGTCTTATTTCATTTTAATTTCACTTCAATTATTTTCTAAATCCTAACAATAAAATTTGACAACTTAAACATTAGCTTACTTGTGAACCGAAAAGAGAATATTAATCCAGCACGTCGGTTGATGGCAAATTTTTTCTTCTTAGCTCTCCTAATTCATCTTCTCTTTATTATTATTATAGTTATCTTCCTTTTCTGTGTCTTTCTTTGTATTTCATCAGCTATCACATGCTTTTCCAACACATAAAGGAATAAAACAGGTCGGAGAACCTAGCAAAAATGGATAAAAAATTGGAAAATATATGTATCAAAAGCTAACATACTTCATCAAAGAACTTCTCTTTTCAACTTCATTAACATGGAACAAAGTACAATTTAAAAGAATTCAAAGAATGGTCAACAAGTAAAACTCCCCACACCACATTGATTCTAGTAATGGCAATCAACCAAAGAAGATGACGAAAAAACCAGTAGTTTTCCCTTGGAAGCAAACGAAAGCACTTTAGGTTCCTTGTGATGATCATCTTCCGGTGCTGGAAGATTAAGATCCAATTTCAGAACACATCTCGGTTTGTCAGGCTGTTCTGTTGTACCGACAGTGATCAAGTTTGTAGTCGTCGGAACGTTACTTAATGTCCTGTGCCTTCTCATATGACCTCCAAGAGCTTGTCCCGAGGAGAACTCAGCCGCACATATTGAACACTCATGAACCCTTGATTTGTTGCATGAAACAGAAGCCTTGCTCGTTATTTGAAGTGAAAGTGCCGTGTTCATGTCTTTGAGTTCATCGCAATAATCACCATCTTTCCCAAACTTCAACTCTTTATGATTGTTATGATTATCTTCATGATGATCGTCAACCTTGGGCTTTTTGTGGCTTGCTCTATGCCCACCAAGCGCCTGGAATGAAGGGAAACACAGGTTACATGTCTTGCATTGGTGAACAAACAACCCCGGCGCCGCTGAAGAAGGCGGTTCATGCGGTGGTTTTCTTGTTTGACCTTGAGACAAAAGAAGTAAACAATTCGCCATATCTTCTTCTTGTTCTCGCTCAGTACTATTCCCTTCTGCTAAGTCAACAAATGTTGGAGAAACAACAGCTCCGCCGTCACCTTCAGTAAATGTCGTGGTTGTGGTGGTTGAAGCCACCTGCAAAGGCAGAGGAGGCGACGGTGGCCTTGGACGTTTGCTACGTTTGCCTTTGATGATTTGCAACGGATCTTTACAAACAACCTCCCCCTCCCCCTCCCCCTCCCCCTCCATCATCATCTCTATAAATCAATCTAGGAAAAGGGTTTCTATGAGAGTTGAAAATAATATTTTGGTTTGAAAGTTGAGAGTTTGCAGCCATGGAAGTCATTGTGGTGTGTATATATAATACTCTATGTGAGAAAGATAAGGGTAACAGAAGAGTGAGATTCGGTTGGCTTTGAAGCAAACCCTTTTGCCTTTTGGCGACGATTCCTTCTATAAGAGGGAGGGTTGAATTGGAAGCCTGGAACCACTTAATTTCTGCTTCTCCATATTTACTTGCTTGGAGTTCCTGTTAGCCTTTTCGTAATCCTTTTTGTAATGAACTTGAAGATAGGAATTTTACATTGGAAAGTGCGGATAAAATATCAAATTTACAGCTTTTCAAATCTCTAATTATTATTTTTATTCCCTAAAATATTTTCTATTTTGTTCATATACTTTTATGATACAATTTTCTTTATCATTATGATAATTTTGTATCACATTCATACTTTTATGATACAATTTTCTTTATCATTATGATAATTTTGTATCACATTCATCATAACGTACTTTTGATAAAAAAAGATCGACGATCTTTCATAATTAAATCTTTTTATGTGATAATTTGTTAATGCATTCAGAATCGTTTTACGGAATAATTTGTCAGATTAATTTTTAATTTTCACGTCTACATCATTTTTTTGTTTAATTTTAAATAGAGATCAAGATATTACTGATATTTACTGTTTTTTAAAATTAAACAAATATTCAAAAAAATATTTTTATTTTATTTTTCTTCACGCTATTTGAATTTCATATTGGAATATGTTATCTTTTTTGTAGCTTGCCCTTTTTAATAAAAATCCAACTTATTGTTGAAAGAATATATATTCTTATTATATTTTAACTATAAAAATAATATTTTCTTTAAAAAGTTATTACTTAATACGGGATGTTGTTTATCTGAACCTAAAATCTAAATTCCTATTAACCTTAAAACCTAAAATCATAATACCTAAATCTTAAATAAAAATACATATTTTTAAAAACAAAAATAAAAAAAACTCTTATAAATTAAAATTTACATAATTTATATATCAAATACATCTCCTTTCAATAAAAAAATAAAAAGAAGAATTATTGGAATTACTAATTGGTTTGATTAAGTACTTCAAAATTAACATCCATTATAAAATTTAGATTTATACTTAAATAATCATACAAATACCAATTCGAATGAGATATTACCATATTAGAAACGATTATTCAAACTCTTTGTTATATTTTGACCTAGATTATAATTGATAATTAAGTTGGATTTTATTTTAATTTTAGTAGTAAAAGATTACTTGGTAATTAGATTTATTTAATAAAATAAATATTTATTTTAGACAATAATTGAACTCTTGGTGACCAAATATTTTGGCTCTATAAATAGATATTATGTTTTACCCTATAGGGTTAATGTGAGAAATTTATTTTAGAGAGATGTAGTCATTTTTTTATATCTCTACAACTTTTAGGTTTTATGTTGTAGAGATATCGACTTTTGATATATATATATATATATATATTGGGTTTTCGGGATATATATGTTAATATAAAATAAAAATTCGAGACGGAACATGAGAAAATGAAACAAAAGAAGTTAAACTTCTTAAAAATAAAAATAAAAATATGTAGAAAGAAAAATATATTTTTCCTAATTGATCTATCCATCAGAAACGAGATGAAGCGTGTTGCTACACAGTTTCCTTAAGACATGTTTTCGGTCACTCCTGGGTGCTCAAGATCTTTTGGTCTTATATCTCACATGATACAACAACTAAATTAATAATGTAAATTAGAACAACTGTTAAGATCACAAACTATTTATTGACTTTGCCTATCACCATAAAACTAAAGAAAGAGAGAAAATAATTTTCAAGATTTTTGAAATTCTTGAATTCTAAATTGTGAAAGCTTTTTGAACTGGTTAACTTGTTAAAACTTGTCAACTTCTTGAAACTTGTCAATAACCTAAAACGTTAGCACACTATTTATAGGGGATTCTCAAAAGAAAAACAATCCTTCTAGAACTATAATAATGTATTCCAATCGAATATAAATTCGTAATAATATATTCATATTAAATTAAATATAAATTCATAAATAACATATTTGTATTTAATCAAATATAAATTTATAAATAATATATTCCTATTTCAATCAAACATAAATTTGTAATAACGAATCCATACAATATCTTTTTAATTCGGAATGTTCAAATAGATATGGCATATTTAAGAAAAAATCAATTATCAAATTCATCAATGAATTCAACATATTTTTCCAACAATACCTCACATGAATGAAATTGATGATTTTATCAAAAATATTTTTGACTTGATGTAATTATATACTCTACGATTAATAGTTGCATAGGATAAGTGGGTATCATATTTGAACATTCCTTTGTGACAATATATTTACTTTACTAGCTAACCAGTAGACATGATGTCCTTGAACTGTTATGCCATTTATGTAAAATTATTAAATACTTCACACAACTACCACTCTGACAAGAATTTTAGTTCTCATGTGTATGTCCTTAAAGCTATGGACATCGTCTAGTTCTGCAAGAATTTGAAAGAATTATGCCCAATAGTCTGTTTGAAGTAGTCCCACTTCACTCTCACATAGGTTACTTATATTGTTCGACTCGTTGAAACACAAAATGATCATTAAAAACTTTGGTAGTCTATACCACTTTGATCATTATTTACATCGTAGGAATGAACTTAGGATGAGAGGCCCCCATAATGATTGTTCATGGTTTCTGTAATTAATGTTTCCCTTTGAACCTAGATCTTCATATATCCAATCAACTAGGTAGGATTTTCCTTCACATAAAGCCTTTAAATTCCATGGGCTTTAGTCTCATTTCATTAAATGTTTTCTCAAATTTGATCTCAATATAACCCTTTCGTTAGCATATCCATGATATTATCCTTTGATCTTACAAAATCAATAGAAATAACATTTAAGATCAATTATCTAATAGTATTATGTTGACGATGTATATGTCTCGGTTTACAATTATACATGAAATTTTTTGCTCTAGAAATTGTTGCTTGGTCTTCACAATGTATACATATTGTTGGCACAAGTTTTATCCAATCTAGAATATCCTCAAGAAAGTTCTAAAGTCATTCGACTTCTTCTCCAGATTTGTCTAGAGCAACAAACTCAGATTTCATTGTGAATCTAATTATAATCATTTGTCTTGAGGATTTTCATGACATAACTACTCCTCCAAAAGTGAATATATATCTATTTGTACCTTTGGAATCTTGAATTTTAGATATTCAAATGGAATTAGAGTATCCTTCTAAGAAAACAAAATCTATAGAATATGCAACCCATAATCTCAAGTATATCTAAGATATCTCAGTATACTTGTTATTACTTTCTAGTGGTTTTTTCGTGGATTGCTCATGAATCTCATTAGACTGCTTATAATAAAAGCAATGTCTAGTGTAGTACAACTGATGAGATACATGCCTATGATCCTTGCATATTCCACTCAGTGAACACTTTCCCCTTGATTTTTAGAAATATGTTAACAAGAGTCTATTGGAATTATGGCTATACCATAACCATTCTTGTTAATTTTCTCAAAACTTTTATCCACATAGTGTGATTGAGCTAGTATGAGGCCTTCAGATGACCTTTTAATTTGGATGCCCAGAATCGTATCAACTAATCTCGCATCTTTTATGTCAATTCTTGAATTTAACAAGTCTGATATATTTTACTATTTTATTGTTAATTCCAACAAAGAGTATGTCATTAACATACAAACATAGAATGACATATCCAATATTTGTAGTTTTAAAAATATACACAATTGTCACACTTATTTATATTGAAGTAGTTTGTCATCATGACATTATCAAACTTCTCAAGTCATTATTTTTAGTGTTTGTTTAAGTCCATAAAAAGACTTCACCAATGCACAAACCCTTCTTGACCTAGAATTACATGATCCTCAGGTTGTTTCATGCATATTTATTCGTCAATGTTTCTATTTAAGAAAGTTGTTTTAACATCTATTTGATTTCACTAAGTGGCAATTAAGATTATCGTTCTTATGGATTTCTTTCTTGATACAAGAAAGTATGTATCAACGTAGTTAAGGCATTCCTTTTATCGATATCTTTTTATTTTCAGAGGACTTGTGCCCCATTTTTTCACAGTTAAAGCATTTTCCTTGGAATTTCTCATTTTTGGAAATTTCACCTTTAAATCCTATATTTCACCTACTTTTGGGTTTTCGTTTACTTCATTTTTTGCTTCAAATAATTCTTAAAGTCATTCCATTCAACATGTAATTTTTCAATAATAAAGGCTACTTGGAAGGATTTGCCTATGATCATTTTTAGCAAGAATATCATTAACAAATAGTTGGATTTCCTCCACTTATTTTACTACTGGTTTAGAATCAACCAAAGTAAAATTCAAGAACTTCGTAACTACGTTTTTAGCTCCAGCATCTTCAATTTTGTATTTATGGTCCAATGTCTACCATAATTTCTTAGTCGATTGATAACAAGCATATACCAGATATAGTTAATTTTTTAGGTTATTCAATATATAATTTATACATATATAATTTTGACATATATAGTTAGTAATATTGTCTACCTCTCTTTTTTCTCCTCCCTTTTTAAAGACATGAACATCTCCATTCAAGAACTTAGAAAGGTTTATTGTGGCCAGATAGAAAAACATATTTTATTAACACATTTTGAAATTCTCTCCATAGAATTTCGTTGAATTCTCATTGTGGTTAACTGCCACTACTAGTTGACTTGTATTTAGATTTAGATTCCAAACTAGAATAGTCACTATAGCATCCAAGTTGTGTAAATCAGTGGAGTTTACTATCTCTATTTTCTATAAAAGAAACATAATTGAAATTAGTATTAATTTCAATAAACAGAAAATTAACTCTCATTTATTTTATTTTTTATTATCGGATAGAATAAACA